GGGGGGGGAGGGGGAGGAAGCCCCCAAGACACGCACACCATACTCACCCCCACCATACCTACGCACACCTGCCCACCCCCACCATATCCACTTACACATCCCACATTTGCCATACATTCCACACCTCCCACTCCACATACACACACCCCCTACACCTCCCTACACATGCACCCACACGCTCTCACATCCCACCCCATCATATCCTCACACATCCAAGTCCCACACATCTACCGCACACCCCACCTGCACCATCCCCACACACCCCACCCCCACCATACCTACACACACACCAAAATCCCACACCCCCAAGATCTACACACCCCTCAACCACACACAATATACAAGCAAACCCCACTCCCCCTCCCAAAAGATGCATTTCCTTTGCAAGGGGAGAGACTCCAGTCAAAATAATTGCCCACCCCAACCTAACTCCAGATCTCAGGGAGCCCAAGTCCCTTTGTGAATTTCCTGTATAGGAAAATAGAAAAAGTTTCTCATCAATAATTTTGTCCACCTGCATTCTCATTTTTAAGATTCAGAAGATTTGAGTGAAAATTATTCTGAATTGCTTCCTCAAAATATTACACATCAAAGGACGCAATACAACATTATTTTTATGCTACAATAAAATAGCATAAAAATAAGTAGTTTAACTTACAGGGCTATAGCAAGAAAAATATTTGTCTACCATAGCAACTATGGCCAGACAGGTATTACTTTTGGGCTGGGAGAAGATCCTCTCTCTCAGCACAAAAAAAGCACGCAGACATTCAAAGAATTTATTGTACAAGAAAATTAGATCAATTCCTACCAGGAAGATCCCCTTTCTGCTGCACTAACTTGAATGCCTGTACATATCTCTCAGGTGTTGAGTCTTCCCAACATACTGAATTGTATTTGTGGGTAATATGCCCTACTGTGAACAAATTTGGAAAATTCTGAACAAGCACTTAATTGGAATCAAATATGTACCCACCCTACCCTTGTTCTAAGACAGAAGTCCACAAGTGGTAGTACTGCCCAAATGCCTGCCATTTGTTTCTTCTAATTTAGTAATCTCTAATAAGGGACTCCAACAAGAAGTACCTATATATGAGAGTAAACATCTCCAGAACTTGTTAGTTATTATGGTCATGGCCTGATGTACTTTATGGAATGGAGTGAACTTACTGCAAATTCATTACAGAAAGATTGTAGCCTACAGTTATAAAAGTAACTCCAATATAAATCAGTTGAGTCAGTGACAGTTTCCTAACTACAAACCCCCTCAAAACAGTGATTCCCAAGGGACATGAACAGCCACATTCACCTAACCTAAAGAGGAACATTTAAACTTTGACATTTATTTTTGAAACGCAACATATATTTGTTGCTCCAATTCAAGATAAATTTTATTTTAACTCAAAAATCCGTATTTTTACCTTGAATTACATAAAAGGCTGTTACTAGACGATATACTAGATTCTGATGCACAGCGGCGACGAGGTTCAACTTTTCTTCCTGGAGCATCATCTAACTCTCTCTCTCTACTTCCATCTCCAAAACCGTTGGATAGACCTGTAATATAACAGAAATATACATTAACAAATGGTAAATTTTACTGTGTTTCTATAATGACATGCAATCGTTCATTTACATAATTACTGTTCTGCACCTGTTAAGTAGCTTTGAGATGCAAAAAAGAAAAAAATCCCTTAAATTATAATACAGTAATTTATATTTAAAAATTTGGCAAAATGTATGTAGCCCAGTTGTTAAGAAACAGGAAGTAACTTTCAGATAAAAGGAGTAAAATAAAGATTACATGAGAGGAAATGCCTAATGGCACTTCAAAAATATTCCCCATACATAATATTTTTAATATTATGTTGGATACTTAATCTTGAGTGCATAGACAGAACCGAGTCAAAGCTTGCAGGCTTACAAAAGTCAGTAGCTCATTTATGTAAGTAAATTGTAATGTATTACAGACTCTGCAAATCACAACAAGGTATACTGGAAATAGCTTTTTTAATGCCCAATGTAATGAGAGGTAGTGATTCTCCAAGGGCCCTAATCCAATACCTACTGGAGACTTCTACTGATTTCAGTCAATGTATTAGACACTAAAACCTAGTTCAGAATAATCTCATGCAATGAGAATGAAGACTTATTTAAGACTAAGAATATTTTGTAAACTCCCAGAGCAAAATTGGATTGTAAACTCAAATTATTCCCTGCTGTATCTTTTTTCTGCCTGCCTTCACAACTTGTGTGCTTTGTTTCAGAGATGTAGAAATGAAAAAGCAGCAATTAACATTTAAAGTGTTCAAGCCACCAATCTGAGAATTTTACAACTGGGCCACTACAAAATCTTGCCTTCATCTGCTTATTCACACTGTACATATTTCTTGTTAAGACTCTTCATTTGTCTATGTTTAAAGACCATTTCTTTATTCGATTAAGGTGTGGACTTCTGGAAGGACTCCTGTGAAGAAGAAAGATTTTTAAAACTTCATTTCTTTAAACTAAACCCAACTCAGGCAGACACAAGAAGAGTGCCAACAGAAATAGGACAACTTTATATAAAAGGAACTAGCTCACAGTTGGGTGCTCCAGGCTTTGGGTATTTATATTATTATATAATTTTAACTTGAAGTAGGACTTGTGAGAAACCCTTTTTTTTTGTTGACATACACAAGATGATGATCTTCAGGTTTTTACTAAATTACAAAATGACTTTTGCATGCACTTTTAAAACTGAAAAAAGATGTTGTATCCGCTATATAAAGCAAACCAGGAGTGTCCTTTCCAAAGGTAAGTCCCACGTCATATTTAGTTTCCTAATTTGATCATTTTTTTGCATGTAAACAAAAAAACCCTAGCAATATGAATGACAAAATCATAAAGCAGCAAGCACAAGAAAGAACCTCTATAGAATGTACAAGAGTAAAAATACTGACTGATGTTCGATAAGGAAAATGAAAAGTCCTACACTTAGGACAAAACAATCCCATGAAGTGGTAGAGGTTGGCTAAGCAGCGGCTCTGCAGAAAAGGACCTGGGGGTTACAGTGGACAATAAACTGAACACTAAGCCCACAATGTGGTCTCGTTGCAAAGAAGGCTAACGGCATACTGGGTTGCATTAGAAAGAGTGCTGGCAGCAGGTCAAGGGAAGCAATTCTTCCCCCCTACTTGGCACTGGTTAAGCCACATCTGGAATACTGTGTTCAGTTTTGGGCCCCTCACTACAGAAAGGATGTGGACAAGTTGGAGGGTGTCTAGTGGAGGGCAATGAAAATGGTTAGGAGGATGGAGCACATGACTTCTGGGGAGAGGCTGAGGGTACTGGGCTTATTTCGTCTAGAGAAGAGAAGACTGAGGAGGGATTTAATAGCAGCTTTCAACTACCAGAAGGAGGGTTCTCCAAAGAGGATGAAGCTAGACTGTTCTCAGTGGTGACAGATGACAGAACAAAGACCAATGGTCACAAGTTGCAGCAAGAGAAGTATAGGTTAGATATCAGGAAAAACTCTCACTAGGAGGGTAGTGAAACACTGGAACAGGTTACCCAAAAAGGCTGAAAGAATCTCCATCTTGGACGTTTTTAAGATCCAGCTAGACAAAGCCTTTGCTGAGATGATACAGTTGCGGATGGTCCTGCTTTAACCAAGGGGCTGGACTAGATGACCTCCTGAGGTCCCTTCCAACTCTAATTTTCTAACATGCTGAGTTACCTGTAGCTTTATTGAGTACATAAAAACCATTTAAAAAGGACCATCTTGGACCATGGCCCAAGCTGAGAGAGTGCCTAGGGCAGTGTAGGCATGCAGTGGTGGGGGGAAGAGCCTGCATAAGCACATGGTACAGCAGTGGGGGAGCAGGCACGTGGTGCAGGAGCAGTGATAGGGTGGAAATGCCCATGTGGAAGGAAGAGGGTATCTGCATAGTGTATGGCCAGGGCTCCTGTGGCTCACCCTAGTGCAGCCCACAGTTGATGACCCCCCGCCACTCGCACGATACGACCTGCAACGTGTTTGTCCCTTAGCTGCTTAGAAACTGGACTATCTTGTCTTAAACCAGCACAAAGGAGATTGTGAATTAAGTCTTGTTACCCTAGTGACCTACTGAATTTTATACTAAACTATCTTATGGTGTCTCACGTGAGCTCTTTTCAGTGCTACTCCTGAAAACTTTGCAAGTATGATTAATTTATCTTTTAAAAAGAAAAAGCAGGTACTTAGCTGAAGTTGCGAAAGTATCTTGATGGTTTTCTTTCTATACGTTTTAAAGATAGATTGTGCAAAATAAGTAAGTCTAGAAAGAATTATTTTTTCTTTTTTAATTTTTCTATGATTGTTCACATTCAGAAGTTTCTAATGTAGTCTTCTGCAATTCTCCACTAGATCTGACCCAATCACAAAATACCATTCTCTCTATATCTAATAGGAGAACAATCAACATCTTGAAGTTGTTAGCAGTAAGTTCATTACCAAACAATAACTTTCCTTTATCATGTTTATTCTCAAACAGACAGTACAGGTGCTTTGACAGATTAACTCAGATTTAGGTGATGCTGAAATCAAGTATGTTTTAAGAGGACAGAGCTGTTTCTAAAGTTGTTTTAGCAGATTGGGGTCTGAGACCATTTGAAGATTGGTAATTGCAAGCTTGCTTAAACACTCTTGTAAGGTTAAAGGAGTGTAACAAGCTACCATGCAATGTGTCTTAAATAAAACATTTGACCCATGAGGCATCTGTTTCATCTATGGTTGGAGTTGTATGTTCTTATTTACAGCATCTTCCCAGGACCAAGAAACTCAGAGTAGGTATCATCACCTACTTCATCAACACAAACCGCAAAGACATGGTCTAGCAGACAGACCCATGCTTTACCAACAACCAAGAATAAAAGAAACCCAAGTCCCACCACAATCTTTATGTTTTATTTTAAAATCACTTTGTCATTTTATCTTGAACCTTTAATTCCTGGCTGAAGGCAAGACACTAGGCACTGCACCTATAGCAAATGTCATTAAGGCTGCAGCATGTAGCAGGCAGAGGCCCAACCTGGGACAGGATTCAAAATGCATCTGGAGTTTAGTCATAAAATAACATCTGAGAATAACAAAAGGAAACTGTGGAAATTCCAAGAGCACTCATTAGGAAGAATCTATCTACTTCTCTTCACTCTTCTGTAAAAAAAAAAAAAAAAAAAAAA